ACTAAAACAGTATTTTCTACTTACTTTGTTTTTTTATTTTTCATGACGACCATGTTCTTGGAGCATTGAGTTTGAACTGTAAAATGAATTCACTTAGGCATCCCAAGGGTGATGGATCTTAAAGGGTAAAATATTTTGGAAACATTAAAAGTAATTTAACTGACGATAATGTGAAAAAACATTCTAAATTGTCAGTTTAACCATTTTTGATAGTTTTGAGGGCTTTAAAAAGATTCCTAATCAGATTATGCAGCACCTTTCATAATTTTAGCAAGTGAAAGCCTCTGTTCATTTCAGTATTGATAATATGCTTTTTCTGTTTAGATTTAAAAACTGCATTTTAATTGATCTCATTGACATCCTTGTTTTTGAAGTGATAAATATGAGAGTGAAAGTGTTGGTAGTTTGTGCAAAGCTTCTAAGGTAGCTAGTGTAGATGTAACAGATTATTTTTTACTTGTCAGGACTTAATATTTAAATAATTCAGGTTAACCAGCTTTTATTAAGTTCCGGCTATCCCATTTAGACCCTGAGAAGGACACAAATGTACTATTTACACCAATAAATACTGATGCATATGTACTGAAACAAACAACTGTGTTACATATGATGAAAATCAAGTGAACAGTTTCCATTTTCCAGAATGTTCACACGAGTTGGAAACACATGGGAATTTACACACACAAAATTATGACAAAAATTTTACTATCTGCCATAAGATAGACACTAAATAAATGGTGCAAAGTTCTAAAGGATATGTAGGGAAGGAAAATGTAATCCTGAAGATCAACACAGCATTACGGAAAATGTAATTCTTAAATGAGCTTTGAAGCATGGACAGAATAGGAATTATAAAAAATAGTTTCCTTTTCTCCAGAAGATTGCGAAAATCATCTTATTAAACATTTAAGGTAGGATGCATTTTTGTCTCCTACTGCTAGCCCAATTAAAATGGACTTGCATAGTATTGTCCAAACAATATTTAGATAACGTATGACTGTTGTGTGAAACATCTTTGTTCCGAAGCTTCCTTTATTTTGGAATGAAAATTGGAATTCAGAGAAATTTTATTACTTACCTAAATAATTATTTGTTAAATATTGTCTTAATTAAAGTGTAAAAAATCGATTTTTCTTCTTTTGATTATTATCATTTATTTTCTGCATCCCCAAATATGTTATAGCTTTAGGGTGTGGAGTACATTTTTTATTTTCTCACCACAGTATAAATATTCCTTACCACAGTGCTTGACAGAAAGAATGCCCTCAAAAAATAAATACCAACAGTGTCTTCCAAATCCCTTATCATGGGGTACAAACTTTTTTTCCCTAATTTACAGTTCTTTAGGCCTGGAATGCTTTTCCTGCGATATTTGGAAGCAGATAGAGGAGGTCCTCAAGTGCAGGAAATTCTAAGTGGGTTGGTATGGATGGAGATAGTGAGTGTGATAGGACACAGCATTTGAAGGGTTTCTTAAACATTGTGTGGATACTTATAGGCTATGCTAGCATTTTGTAGTAAATTAACTGGAGTTTCCCCAATGAGGACAGGATCAACTGCTGCTGAGAAGTATGGCAATGAGATGACTGTAATCTTCACAAAAGCAGTTTCAGTGGAGTGGAGTGTGTCAACATGTGATTTAAAATGGGGAGCTAGAGATGCAAGTATGAAAAAGTAATTTAAGAAATCGTGTTCCGAAGGGGAACAAAACTGTTTGGTAGCTACAGAGAGAACTGGGATCAAGTGAGATTGATAGTTTTGTTGTTACTTGTTTTGTTTCGTTTCACTGTGTTTCCACTAAAAAGTTCTGGAAAATTGTTCTGGGCTTATGTGAATGACTGAGTGAGAGAGAGAGAGACTGAGCATGTAAAAGGGATAGAGACACTTGAAAGATTACCCTCCGAGAGTAGAGATGGGATTCCTAACAAATAAAGACATTTTTCTGATGGGAGCAAGCACACGCTGCCATTTTAAGAGGAAAAAAAGGTAGAGAGTGGGTACATGTGCATATACCTTTAGAGATTTGGTGGAAAGAAAATAAGAAAGTTCCTCTCTGATGGCTTCCACTATCTCAGAACACAGACAAATGTACCAACTAGGAGTCACAAAAGAACAGAGCTTATAAGGAATTAGAAGAAAGAGAAGCTACAAAATAATCATGTTCATGCTAGGAACTGAAGTTAACTGAGGAGATGATACTAAAATTGTCCAGCAGCATTGTATGTCCCGTTTGGACTTGGCGCTATGATTTGAAGGCATTACATAATTATGGTTTTGTGATACTTTTCTTGGACAACATTGAAACCTGCATTTTTCCTCTCTGTACCTCTATTTGGATTTCTTTAGCCACCTCAAATTAAATAATGCTTTAGACATAATCATTACCTTTTCCCGAACACCTTTCACATCGAATGCTCTCTATCGGAGAAAATGGCACCAGTGTTTCCTGTGCGGTTTAAGCCAAAGACCTTAGGGGCCTTCATAGGATTCCCCACTCACTCATCTGACCATTAAATACGTCTCAAAATCTTGTTGATCTTAAGTCCCACTCATCTCCTGAATTTACCTACTTTTATCTCTCACCATTTGAACCACTCTTGTTAAGCAACAGAGTCTCTTTCTGGACCAGTACAACAGAAACAAAAGGGCCAATTGCCTCCATCCATGCTCCTCTCTAGTCCCATGTTGCTATGAAATTTTCTGTTAAAAACCACTTTGATCTTATTATTTCCCTGCTTAAAACTTTATACCAACCTCTCCTTATTCATAAGTTAAAGTCCAAAATAATAAAAACTGTAAGCTGTTTATGAGCTGGTGTCCTCTTCCCTGTCTAATTTTCATCTTTGCCACTTTATTTCTATTATCTCCCCGATCAATTCTTTAGTTTCCTCCATCTCCCTGTTTGTTCCCCACCTCTTTTGGTACTTTGCAAAGATTTTTCCCTCTAATGCACTGCAATACTCTTACTCATATTGGATAATTTTCCTAATCTTTTACATCTCAGCAGAGATTCAGCTTCCAAAGTCTTCTTTGACATTCCAGTCTAAATTAGGTGTCAATGTTCATCCCCATGCTCTTTCTTTTTCCGAGCATAACCATATTTATAATTATTCATGCAACGCTTCTAAGAATCATAAAGGCAGGGCTGTGTCTACCTTGTTTACTTCTGTAACCCAGTATGAAGCAAAATTTATGGCCCACTACCTCTGCTAAAAGCATTTTGTTGATCTACTGAACATAAAGACACATTTATCTACCTTTTACTTACATTTATATTTTTCCTATTCCCAGAGTTCCCCTGGAGGGTTGAATAACAGTGTTACATGTGATATCATACAAAATGTTTACGTTAAAAGGCACTCATTAAAAAGATAATAAGCGACATTTGTTTCATGAATGATAAATAAATTCCAAATATGTGGAATGCATGGATTGACACTTCACATCTTTGAAAGCAAATAGTGTTTAAAGTGAGAATGGTTTTACTGAAAAGGATAAAAGAAGAAAAATTGGATAAGTTAGCTAAGCATGGTATTGGCTGCTACAGCAATCCTGTTATAAGAAAAATAATATTTAAAATCTTCTCCTAATCATTTAACTACAAGAATGTCCCTAATGCTATCAAAAAGCTCTTCTTATCTTTGAAATACCTTCACATTCTCTCTGAATTTATAAGAGCATTAAGGCTTTACTATCGCTATAATTAGATCTCCTGAAAAAAGTACCTTCTCATTTTTGTCAATTCCTGATTATTCACGGAGATGGCGGAAAGCCTGAGCATGGATTACTAAAACCCCAGATCATTTATAGCACATGAAAATTGGCCCCACTTCATTATGTCTATCAAAAATTTCTATTGAAATATGAGTTCACCTTTGAGCTTTAGCAAATGTTCATTGATGCTTGAATAAATGCTCAAGTATAATAGTGAATTTTTAAAATAGAAAAAAATATAGATGATTGATTAGCTTTATGTAAACTAAGCCTTCAAAGGTTATCAAACCATCGGTTTGGTGGTCTTCAAATGGCCTATATTGGGCAACTGGAATAAAAGCTTGGCTTTATTAGCCATTGAGAAGAAAGAAAGAGACAAATTCTAGGGAATCCACACAATAAAAAGATTTACATTGTTAGCACTTACTTACTTCACCACCAACAGAAATGTTAACAAAAATATCCAGGGAACATTTTCTTTATTTGATTCTAGATAGTTCAGTTACAATCTTCATGCCACGCCATTCATTTATTTATGCATAACCTAGCAATTTGTGAACACATATTCTGGTCAAACACTGTGATAAGCATTGTGAACACAAAATTGAATAAGACACACTTTCTATCTTTTATAGATCATTGCAATTTGTATAGTATAAGTATGACTGGTATGAGAATAGACGCTTGTTGAATCAAGGAAAAGTTCTAAAATGGAGAAAAATGTAAAATAAATGCCTAAAATCTGACTCTTCCTGAAATCAATATAGTGTGAACGATACATCAGCTCATTTATGCATTCTCCCCAGTCTAACAGAATTTGTGAAGCTTTAAGCTTCTACAGTTAATTTATTTATTAATTCAATAACAAAATTTTGAGCACTTACTGCATACCATACCATTCTATGAGCGTAGTGGAAAATTTACATTTCTTCAACAAAAGTTGTATTAATAATAGAGTAAATGAAAATTATACTTAAAGCACTGCTTCAGTTTTAAGCACATAGAAGTATTTACCTTTTATAATGTAATTTCTTATAAGCTCCTGTAGCATAAAAATCACTAAAAATATATACATTCCAAACGTTTAATTTAAATACTTAAATATTTGATTATCTGAATGAATAGCCTAGTATTTATGATTCAGAAGCTTATGAAGGTTTTTGAAATTAATACAAAGATTGTGTTATATGTAATCTGTGTATATTAGTCAAAATAATGACGTGATTCACAAAACAAACACTGCATCTGTTCCAGGGAAAAGCTTAGTCTCTTATTTCTTTTGACAGTGTGCAGACCTGGGTTCTTCAAAGCCTCACCTCACAGCCAGAGCTGCAGCAAATGTCCACCTCACAGTTATACCCATGAGGAAGCTTCAACCTCTTGTGTCTGTGAAAAGGATTATTTCAGGAGGGAGTCTGATCCACCCACAATGGCATGCACAAGTAAGGAAACCCATGGATATTTGGTGATGAGAAGTTTCACCAGTTTGAAAAAAGAGCATGATGGAGCCTGTTACATTCTATTACCATTTCCCCTAAAACAGGCATAACGTTTAATCTTCCAGTACGATTGTTCACCAAATTTCAGTCTTCTTGAAAAAGCATTGAAAAGTTTGACTCTCTTTTATCTCTCACTGTCAGAAGCATCCATGTGCCCTAATTTCAAATTCATCGTCTGAACACAGATATAGAATTTTCCTTTTGTTTTGTGATCTTTTAGTGTTGACAATAGCCAAAGATGACTTGATAAATTCATTTCCCTGTTCACAGTAAACCTTTTTCTCTTCTTCTTCCAAGCCATTTTTTTGATCTATCATATAAACATACAGTAAATGGCACTTTCGCCTTCTTGTTCTAACCTGCCCCACTAAGCTGCAAATGCCACTAAAAAAGATGGCAGGAAACACTACAAGAACATGGAGTACTGGGGGTTGGAAAATCAGATTGAGGAGTCAAACATAGAACCAATTTTTTAGCTAGAATTTCTAAGCAGTTGTCATGTTTCTTATTAGTGAGCATCCTTAACTGCTATTAATTATACTATCAGATAATCATATAATTAGAGTGATGAATATAAAACATCTAATTTCAATATTGCAGTGGATGCATCCACATCCATCAGTGTTTTTGGTGCTTTTGTTTTTCTAGTATTCCATGTATTTATTGGAAGGAAACAAATTTATGTATTTGTTTGCTTGATGGCAATATCTTCATAGTTTTTCCACAATAATAGTCTTTATAGCAAATCAGACACAAACAGAGGAAGAAAGGGAAGAAAAGTGAATTCCCTCTGCCCATAACTTTCAATTTCCATGACCCACCTTATTTTACTATTTTAGATCTCAGTAAGTTGTAGTTGCTCTCAAGGATGATGGCAAAGATGTTTGAAACTTAGTATTCATTAGCATTAAATATAAAGAGATGTACAACTCCTTTAATTAAGTGATCAAAAGCTGAAATTTCATCTGTATTTCAGTGTCTGAATTTCATAGTGTCAGTAAGACGTATTTTCATAATTCCTCAAATCATTGATATTAGTTAGCTTTACTTTGCTAAAGATCATTCTTTTATCATGAGACTGATAATTTTACAGGTTAGATGATTGCTAATTATGAACAATTTCTTTCAAATGAGTAAGTGACGTTATCATATATACTCTTGGCAGGATTCATTTGAATAGAGGAGATATAGACTATGATGGAATGTGATGCGTTTGGTTGCAGTGGAGATTATTTTGATTCTTCAAAGCAAAAGAATGCCCAAATGGTGGGGAGAAATGTTGGCTAGACAATAGAATGGCAAATTAGGGAGAGAAAATCATGTCTTGAATTATCTTTTACTTTTCATTCATTTTCTAATTATTATTTTCTTTAAGTGGTCTGGCTATGATCCTTCTCTTTCTCAGCACAAATGTGAGCCTCCCTTTCTGTAAATCTGTTAGGTTTGGCAATGGGGGAGAGCCCGTGTTCTGGTGGCAAGGACTGCTTAGCACTCTTTTAGGACCTGCGTCCATAGTCAGGCTTCATATATTCTCTGTCCCCAGGCGTGTGAATTTCTAATACTGTGTCTCAAAAGAACACTAATTTGTATGCATTTCTCAAAAGACTATTGGGACTTATGTAGAAGATCTTTCTAACATATAATCTGTGAGCGTGTATATTCTGTTTTTAGTTGCATTCATAGTACCACAAATTCTGCATGCGATCCCCTTGAACAGATGGCTTGATTGATGTTCAGACGAAAATCTTAAATTTGCTTTCCCTTTGGCTCTTTGGAATTAAATTTATGGTTCCAATTCCTTTCAATATTTTTTCTGGGAAAAAATGTACATGTAAAATCTGGAAAACAGAATGTTGTAAACCTGCAGGGAAAGAAAAATCAAACAAAAATAAAAACCTAGATTCTAATGAATCTGCTTAAACCAAGGGTACTTCTCACAACTCTACTTTGGTTCATACATCACATCTATTAGTGGGGCAGTGGAATTTCATTACATTATTTTTTAGGTACATGTCAATCTGAGCCTCTACTTTTTACCTCTATTTTAGGGCTTCAGTTGAATTTGTCTTGTTTTGACTTTAAGAGGTGTGTGTACCCCCACCCAAATGTTGAGGGGCTATTCAGAGCAGAGGCAGAGGAAAAGGAAGAGTCAGATTCTGATGGATTTTCACAGATTTAGAGGAAAGGTTAAATAGGGGTACTTTCAGTTGGCAGAAACTTCTGTTTGGTATCTTTCTGAACTAGATATATTTCAGGTATATTTTGCGTTTTTCTCAGAAGTAAACCTGTAGCATTTTAATCCGAAATTACATTTTCACCATAACTTCCCACTATTCAATAAGCTAAAAGTTATAGAAAAAAGAATACTTGTATTCCCATCTTAAGAAATTGTTTCAACTTAAAAGTGACTGTTTTATGTTGAAGTGTGTGAGGTTGTATGTATGGAAAAGTTCACAGAGTTGAACCATAAATATACCAAGATGGGGATTGTTTTGTCAATAATGGCATTTCTTGGGTTATGGGATCCTTTAATTTAAATGACATTTTGTAAATACTAGATAGTTTTCTTGTCACTGTTAAATTTAGTCCTCAACAATCATGGCTTAATAAACATTAGGTAGAAATTGATGTTAATCTCTATATTTAGAACAGACAATGCATATTAAGATAAGCTATGTCATCCTAAGTAGCTTAATTTATGCTTGTGAACCATTCAACTACCACCATAGTCCATTTTATTCCCTGTTGGGAAATCTTTATTAATTAAGTCTGAAACAAATGTAAATGTATTTTCTCTTTGAGAAAAATCTGGTCATATACCATTAAGAGCTGACTGAAGTTATAGTTCTAAATATCTGAAAATCGACTATACAGTTGACATTATGCAATTAATTTTTTTAAGACTTTAATTTTTTTAGAGCAATTTTAGGTTCACAACAAAATTCAGAGGAAAATACAGAGATTTCTCATATACCTCTGCCTGCACACATGCATAGCCTCTCCCATTATCAACATCCCCACCAGAGCGGTACATTTGTTACAATTGATATGTAATCAATTTTAATTCTCTTTAGTGTGCTAATTGTTAATTTCAGAAATAAAGTAATCTACAAATGGATATTATTTATTATTTATATGTAAATGTGTTCTGCTGATCCTTCAAGATCTGAACACTTTCATTCCTCATCTTGTAGTGATTTTGAGAGTTATCTTTCAAATAAATTTCAGATTTCCATTTAAGTAAAATTCAAAGCTTGCAGAACCACAATATAAGAACAATATCAAAGTTAGTGAAGTTTTATTACAGATTGTAATGTTGACTGACTATGTAAATTCTAGTTCTTTCTTAACATATGAGGGAGGTTCCAAATTCCGTTGGTGATTTATCAGTAGATATGCAATTTATTTTGAGATGAGCTAAGGCTATTTTTTACTTGCTGCAGAATTTGCAGTCGAGGACCACACTGAAAAATCCTTTTTTACCTGTACTCATTGCTTGGTAAATCCTTCATGTTTACTTCCTAGGTTTCAGGGTCAAGTATCAATGGGGGGTAATCAGTTCAATCCTTAAGGAGAATTTTTCCTTGGATTTGCCAAAGGACTTGCCACTTTTTGAATATGTAATTTTCTGTAACATTATTTTTGCATACATAATTTTACTCCATAATTCTTTATACACAAAGCAAAACTTCTGCTTCACCTGAAATAGTGTTATAACAATGCCAAGTCATTTCTGTAGGATATAAATCCCACTATTGTCCCTACAAAACTATCACACGATTTTTCCAAGATTATTACAAATTCTTAACTCTCGTGTTCTCCCTTCTTAAAAGATTGATTGAAAATCTATTTTTTTTCTCTCAGACCAGGGATTTGTGCAGTAAACAATGCCTAATTTTATCATCTTAAAATATGTTTTTCTTACTTTACTTTGCAAACCAGGACCCCCCTCAGCTCCTCGGAATGCCATCTCAAATGTTAATGAAACTAGTGTCTTTCTGGAATGGATTCCTCCTGCTGACTCTGGTGGAAGGAAAGATGTGTCATATTATATTGCATGCAAGAAGTGCAACTCCCATGCAGGTGTGTGTGACGAGTGTGACGGTCATGTCAGGTACCTCCCCCAGCAAATCGGCCTGAAAAATACCTCTGTCATGATGGTGGATCTGCTCGCTCACACAAACTATACCTTTGAGATTGAGGCAGTGAATGGAGTGTCCGACCTGAGCCCAGGAGCCCGGCAGTATGTGTCTGTAAATGTAACCACAAATCAAGCAGGTAAGTGTGATGTCCAACCAAATCATGTACCCCAGACCAAGCTCTGTCAATTATCCCCTCAGCTGAGGGCAAAGTTGCCTGAGATCTGTGAGGGAACGTCTCCTAAACCACAGCGTTAAGATTTAAAGTAGAATACACCTCGGAATGCTTTTCTGGTTTTAAACATATAAAAGCTAAGGCTTTCTTAGCAGACACATGCATGGCCAGAAAGAAAAAAAATATGTTTTAATTGAATTTTTTCATTAAAAATACATTATTGGCTCAAATTCATTTGTAGCAAAAATTCTTTATCTTATAATTTCACACATTGAAATTATTATAGCTCAAATCTACATTTTTTGTTTTGTTTACTTTGAGTCTTTTGTTAAATTCGTTAATTTAGCATGTAATCAGGCAAATTTTATTTGCTTGTTTGTTTATTTGTTTGCTTGGCACTATAGCCGAATTTTCTTTGCACATTGGAATAGGCTTTTCTTATTGTTAATATTATTATTATAATAAAAATGCATGAAGTGAATTTTTCTTTGATAAATCCATTTATCAAAATTCAAATAACTATGAACTATTGTACAACCATATGAAAACACATCTATGTTTCATGTGAAGATCTTGGAATTGTTAGAGAATAATTTTCGGAAAGTAGAGAGCACAGTTCTGCTTGAGTTACTAATTCTCCCACAATTTCCCCTCAAATATTAAATTTTAAGTAAATCAGTATAGAAGGCTTCTTTCCTGGTAAAATAAAAACCAAAGATAAACTATGACTGAATTAATAATTCAACCTATCATGTGGCAAGAATCATTTAAAGCCTATGAGTAGTTTATAACTTGTTTTTGTCAACAGTAGGTATCTGGACGGGAGGAGGCATTAAACGTAACTTTCCTCTATTCCCTGGCCACAACTCTCAGTTCAAGGGTGTAAGCTTGTCACCTCGTTAGTACCTCAGGAGGACTTTGATTGGTGAGGACATCCTTGACAGCAGTACTCACAATGAAATAGGATATGTTTGACTGGATTGAGTTGAACTTAGTTCATATAATATTGGTATAAGTTTGTAGGTTGTGGAATGACTGGGTTGACAAGAGAATCCTGTTGGTAATCATGTCTTGGCCAACAAAATTTGAATTGTTGGATGTGTCAGGTAAATCAAGTGGTTGTCTGTTGAGAATAAGAAAATGCATGCAGTTGAGTTTATAGTTGCTTCTAATTAATAAAACTGAGTGAAACATTCAAGAGTAGCACAGATGACACGAAGGTACTTGAATGATTCACTAAGAATCATTCTGAACGCTCTAGATGTTCTTAGCTATGTTGAATTCATTCCCACAACATTTTCTTTTTATTCGGTGAGAGAAAACATTGCACATATGTATGCCACTATCCTCAATGAATCCTTTGTATTTTTTTCCATTTACTCCCAAACCTAGAGTGGAACTAATTAAAGTGCTAAAGAGCTGAAGAAGAACAGTGACAATTAAGTTTTCCTTCAGTATAGACTCAGCTGCGGGCAATACTAGCATATGTTGATTTTCCATCACAGTACCTAGATGTCACAAGTGTTCAATTAACGTGAACTGTCTTCCCACGTCAGAAAAATACTATCTTTAAATGTGTGATATCAGGCTTCTTGTGTAACGTCTTTCAACCTTACTTGGTTCTACATATGAATCTTCCATTAACATATTGAAAGCATATTGAACAAGGACTATGAGTTGTATTCCTTTGGGAGGACATTTTCTAGCTTGCATAACATTAACTTCTTTGAAAGATATTTCTCTGATGAACTAGTTGTAGGAAATGACTGTTTATTTTTAAAATGAGGTGCTTAATAAATATTTGCTCTCGTTGTCTTTGACTTTCTGGCCTGTTTAGATTGCAAAGTGTGTTTTTTGAACTATAAATACCTTAAATACCATGAAAGAATAATTTTCATCCAGCTGTTCAAGGCATGGCTATCATGTAAAACAAACATTTTATTCAGAACAAACATTTTATTGACTTTGGGTTGCTGCTTTTTTCCAAGTTCTCCACAGATTCGTACTGTCAAATCTCTGCAAACCTACTCAAAAAAATCAAAAGTAGGAGATTTTTCTCAGTCTCTGACATTCCAGACCAACTAAGTCTCAAGTTCCACAAAAATTGTTAACTTCAAGTAACTCCCAAAAAGTCTTAGATTTAATGCTACTATGGCTGGACATTTATCAATTTTCAACATTCTAGAAAGTAGCCTGCAGTAGTTGGTTTTCAAAGTCTAAATATTTTTTAAACATTAAATTGAAGAAAGTTATCTGTATCATATGTGGTTTTATATGAAAATTATTTCACCAGATTTTAAATTCATTTTCCATCTCCTCTAAGAAGTATTTTTTGAGAAGTGCATTTCTTTCCTAATTGATTTGTTTCAAATTTGTAATTTGTCCTGACATTTTCTGATTGACTTATTTTTTGTGACATCAACACAAGGTATGAACCATCTAGATTCAAAATTATATTCAGAAAGTACAAAAAGAAAAATAGCAATATTTCAAGATGAGAATCTGGTGTTAAGCTAGGAACTGAAATTGATGAGGTAACCCTGGCTGATCAATCTATAAAAGAAAATAATGATTTCATGCTGAGGATAGTGATTAAATGATTAATTTATGGATGTTTATACAGTATTTAGAACATTTTTCTAGCCATTATATCATTATGGAGTCTAGCATCTTGCTTTTGCGAGAAGTTGTCTGAATTTAAATGATACATTTTGCATGTAATTTAATAGTCAAGTCAAAATATAAAGTTTTAAGAAAAGCTAACCACCAGAATTAGTTGGAATTTATGGTCCTTGTAAAAGGCAGCAAGTAGTACTGAGGTTGACAGGAAAGAATCGTAAAATTGATGTGAGAGATTTTCATGGTCAAGAAAAATAAACACATATGAAGGAGAAAAAGCAAGAAAAAAGTAATTTAATGAAGGTAAAGGAATACTGTCTGTGAGGAAGGGGAAAATGATAGGAAAATAAAGTGTGAATATGTTAATTATGTAGAGAACTCTTAACAAATAGTCAAATTGCAAAGTGGATAAAATGATGGATATGCAAACGATACACTATTAAACTCTTAAACTTAGAAAATGAATAGAAGTCCTTGAGTTCTTCCAGTTTTTGAGTAAGTTTATGTCTTTCTTATACAATCCATTCTTTCAAAAAATTGGCTTACATATGGTAATCTTTCTTTGCAAAAAAAATAGATTATTTACATGACAGCACTTCTGTTGTTCTTCTGTTTTATTCTTTAGGGCATCTAAAGTATGCATCTTCTGGATAGATGGGTAGATAGACAGATATAAGTAGATAAGAAAATAAAGAGTGATATGTCAACACATGGTGTGAAAATTAAATATCCCATTGATAGCAAATACTTTAAAAGTTTCATTATCTGCTCACAAAAGAGTATGATTTATCATATTCTTCTATCAACACATTCTTTGTTTTTATTTTAAAATAATTTTCACTAGGTATACTGTACCAAGAGCTAAAGCTTAAAGCTCTTCTGATATATACAAATGTATATTTTATCCCAAGAAAGAATAAGCCCATTATAACGATAAACCAAAATTACTAATACTTTAATATGCAAAAGTAAAGCATCTTAATTCTGAGTTGAAATAGACCAAATTTTAATTGTTTTGAATTAGCCTTGAACTCTTGGACTCTTTCCTCATAGGGCTAGGTTGACATGACATCAGTTGCAAAGTACAGCAAACACGGTAGAGAGAATGTCGCCACTTGTTCCAGACTATCAAAAATATCTAAGCAAGAGGGACTCTATATTTTGATGGGTTTTATTTCTTGGTTCTTGCAAAGGCGTTTGGGGGATGTGATAATCCCCTTTAATCAGATACTTTCAGTTTAATGCCATTCAAGTCATCGACCAGTGTGATTTGTCATAGGATGTTGAGATGATCAGGGTTGCTGAAGACTGAATTCTGCTGTAGAGCTGAAATATGGAGGGACCATATTTGGCTGTATTTGTAATCACCACATGTATTGGTGATTAAATGCATTGTTGTTTGCCAAGACAAGTTTGTCTTCTACACAGACCAAATAAATAATTTAAATCTGTACATGTTCCTAACCCCCCACCCTTTATTCTTCCATGTTTTTTATGGTGGCACTAATCACTGCCACCTACAGATGCCCCTACAGATACAATAAAGATTTGTGTTGATTCCTGTGGTAGGAGGGAGATAATTTCAGATTGGTCATTACTACAGTTTTACGCCTTTTACTTCATGGGCCTCAGAGACAAGAGGGATTACTTCCAGTTGCAGAGTAAATCTTCTAAATATATACCAGTGATCTGGTGAAATAATCAAAGGATAGAATGGAGGGATCACTGTGACATTCGTAATATGGGCTCAGGACAAAATCTCATTCATCACATTACCCCCAGGGCCTCCACTCAGATCAATGTTTCTTAGTGGTATTCTGGATGCACATTAGCTCAGGGGCATTGTTCAATAGTCACTGAATTTCCCCCCACCCCCCATTTATTTAGAAATGGCCAGAGATACTTTTCAGAAAAGCTAAAAGGAACATCTACAATATTAATAGATGTGACTATTGCACGGTCCTTCTGTAAAGGCAATCAACTCTCTCTTCCTTGAAGGGGCTATGGGGTGAGTAAACTAACTCAGTTCTGGGAATTGATGCGAGATCATGACTAGGTGGCTAAATTTTGATTGTATTTCTCAGACCTTGATGTCATTGGTGGTACAGATCAAATGGCCCATTATTTCGGTCTCTGAATGCCAGAGTACTAGACTGTTTACCATTCAAATCCTGCTGCCTGTTATGAAATCCATGCCCAACTTCCTTCCAGTGGTAAAGTGCTGCTACTTGGCCTCTACCACACCTGAACCCTAAAGAAACCAGGAAATCATTTCACTGGGGCTTCAACCTCTCTGTTCTCAAGTATAGAGAACAGAATTTATAGAGATTTTATTTATAAAGGTG